TCCATGAGAACTATTATTCCGTCGCGGGTAAATCAAATAAATCCAACGATCCACCTGAATATTTCGTAACATCGAGATCAAAACCGTTAGTACTTCCTGTAATCATCGGTCCACCAATTACTCGAGTAAAAACCATAATCGCGCGGGATCCGAGCTCCCGAGCGAATCAAAAAATCCTCATAATTCGAGAGCCGCGATCGACGTTCCGCCAGAAATAACCGGAAATAACCGCGCGCCGCTGCAGCTGGCCGCGAATGGCAATCCCGTATTTGTTGCGTATGCAAATCCGCCAGGAGAATTACGTGCGGGCAGGGTCGACGTAAAATTCCGCGGGAAGAACTCGGGTCGTTAGAATTCATGAGAATTTCCATGGAAATTCCTTCGGCGATTAAATAGCGCCGCTCGTGTATCGCAATCGACGCGGATCGAGACAAAGGCGGGTTTTAACCCTTTCATTCCGGCGTGGCTCGCGGCGAAAAGTTTGTCACTGTCAACGGAACGCACTGATTACGAGTCGATAGAACGTGTGGCGCGACATTGGCGAACGTTGCTGGGTACATGAAACAATAATCAATGAAACATCCAATTTAAAGTGATAAGAATTTCTCATCTACGAGAATTGGGGTATTATTCGAAGAAATTATTAAGGTTATATAATGATTTTAAACTCAGTTAACTCACAATTAATTCTAAACAATACAATACTGTTAGATCTAGAAAAATTGAAAAGTTGAATTCCTAGGAAAAGGAATTATGTCAATTTACTTAGATTTGGAAAGTTATAGATTAAAAAGTAGACAATCAGAAGGTCGTTTTGCCCTCTCTGATGGTTTTAGTGTTAAAGAGTTAAGTCTATTTCTCAGAGAATTAATTATTATATTGAAATAATTATGAAAAAACGAAATCAAGAGGTCGCTTTTGCCTCTCTAGTGGTTCTAGTGTTAAAGAGTTAAGTCTATTTCCAGGTTCCGCGTTCTCTCTGTCGTTTTCCCTCCGATCCTCGCGTCTATCGAAGAGAACTACGGTTTCGCGTTCCCCTTACCGCGTGTTTATCGCGTTCGACGCTCGGAATATCGAACGAACGGGTTGTTCTCTTATTTTCCATTTTTTTTTTCGTCGAGCGGTCGATATCCACAGCTACGAGAGCGAGAACCCATGAAATATCGCTCGGCCGCTTCCGCTGGAAATTCGCTTGCGCCCGTACCTTTCGACGATTAATCCGCGATTTAATATTAAAATGGCGGGCCCGACGGCGTTAATGTAACACAGTAATTTATAGTTTTTCATTAACTCCGTTAGCGCCGTGTTTCCACGGCGGTCGGTCGACAGTGGATTCCCCGCAGTTCCTGTGCTCGGTAAACATGATCCAGTGGACCGGGAGAATCGGCGGAATTTAGTAACCTGTTCGATGTTATTTGCGCCTTTAATGAAATTTTTGAGGGATGCTGCTTTCGAGGGTTCTGTACTGGTTGCTCGAGGTTCTAGGCGGCACCGTGTGTATTTGCAAATGAATTATAGCCCGTGGGTAACATAATAAACTCCGGTGAACCAGTAAATCATCTTGATTTTCTTTAGGACTCTAGAATGCCTCATTTCCTTGATAAATCAATTGCTTCTAATGTTCTCACTCAATGATTCATCGAACCAGAGTCAACAAATCTTATTATTTTCCTTCGAGATCACCCACACATTTGAATTCGTCAATCCAGTTTCAACCTCTTGTAGCGTATTATTGGCAGCTCAGAATTTCCATGACGTTATCCAGTGAAAGGAGGACTATCGAGACCGATGTAGCGAGAGAACTGGAAATGTAGAGGGAAAGATAGGGATACGGGGAAGAGAACGTCGCATTTTTCAACGGCAGGAAAGGTTTGGAAGGGGTAGAGAGAATTCGCTGGGGGAAGCTCGTCGAGCGACCACCAATTTCCTTCCGCTTTCTGCTCCACGTTCGTACCCCGCCCCGCATTCCGATGTTCGGTGAAAGCTGAACCGTGCGTCGCGCACACCTCGCTGCCAGCCTGCCGGATATTAGAGTTTTATTGTCACGAGACACAATTATGCCTCCTCTGTTTGCCGTAGTTTCATTGTTTTCGTCTGGGAGCCGTCTTTGATGCGTCCGCGGGAGAGGGGAGTAGAGGAGAGAGAGAATAGAGAAAGGGGGAGAGAAGAAATGAGATCGAGAGAGAAAGAAATAGGGGAAAGTGAAAGAGAAGAGGAGAGACGAATAGAAAAGAAGAAAGAAAGGAAATGAGAGTGTCAGATGAGACAAAGAAGAGCGAAGAAGTAAATAGAGGTACGAAGCAGGAGAAAGGGAAAGAGTGATGTATCAATGGCCTGATTGTATTGAATAATTCCAGGGGAATAATTAGGCTAGCCATTCAAACCTTCGATACGGTCTATAGTTTGTGGATATTCAATAAACGAACGAGATTGGCGCACGAAACCAGACACTCGATACACTGTTTTCCTTTTGGTTAGTTAAATACGCGTCAAATTTAATGAACTGTCCGATGAAGTCCGATACCACTCGTTAACCGAAAAACGGTTCCTTTACAATTTCGATCGCTGCTTTTTACTTGGAACGTGTGTTTTTCATTTGAAAGTTCGGCGCAGCGAATGCGTGTTTAATTTTAGTCGGAGCCGCATGAAGCTCTATATTAATCGAAGATCTAAATGTACAGAGTAGCCGGTTCACTGTGCACAGTTGCGGCACGCAACTCCCGCGCAATTACGTTGTACAGCTTTCGGTGTTTGTTAACAAGTTCGGATCCGCGCGGGATACACGCGAGAAAGACAGAAGTCACACGGAAATCCCCTTAAATTTTGAACAAATATTGAACGTGTTAACGAGCGGAATCAAAGGAGCGTAATTTTACTGAGCACACACACCCGCGAAAGTTGAAGTAATTCGATCCACGCGCCTGTCTACGCTCGCAACTTTCCTGCGCCGCGGAATCTTCGGGGCGCGCACACTGTCCGAAAATAGTCTGCACACACTTTGCAGTTGTGAGAAATACTACGCTGAGAAACAATTTGATACGAACAGATTGCAACTGCATTTCACGCTGATTAAGCTATAAAGTTCGCTAGTCGTCTTTGAAACCAGTCAAATCAGGAAACCTGTATCTACTTTTCCCAGGAATTTCTCACTTTACCAAAATTATTGAAATTTTAACTTGGGAGGTGAATCTATACGAGAAACTGGATCGATAACAATCAGTACAATGTTTTCGTAAGACACTTCGTTCTCGGGATATTCAATTCCAAAGATTCATACGAAACACGTCCAAATAAGTAGAAACAGTAGATCATGGTCAGACAATACAGCTCAAACCCAACACGCCCATCAATCTAACCTCAGCTGTTCATCCCACGACAGAATCTCCATCTACACCCTCAATCCAACGTCTCCCATACATCTCCCTCCAAATCGAAAGCTGCCATAAACAATACAGTAATCCCCAAAAAACCATAAGACCAAAAACCATCAATTCCACTAACCTCCAAA